GCAAGAAAGGTATACAACTTTTTGAGGTTTTACAGAGGTAGTTCTTTTTTTTTTTGTGGGGTGGTGATCTTTAGTTTGGGTCAGACTGAGCGCACTCGGCACGTCGGCCACTATTTGGCCTATTATACAAGCCTCGGATGATAGATGATGATGAGCAGGGCCCGGATTTTGATGACCTGAAAATATTTAAAAAATGACCGAAAAAATCCAGAAAAATTACCTAAAATATGAACCAAAAATGTAATATGCAGGGCCCGGATTTTGATGACCTGAAAATATTTAAAAAATGACCGAAAAAATCCAGAAAAATTACCTAAAGGAGAAAAGAGAGAACACTTCGCTTCCATGTTATTCACATTTCAGAAAACATATGAAGAAAAGTACCCTAAAATGGCCAATTATGACAAGAAATACCCTTAAGAGCCCCAAAATTTACCAAAAAATTACCTCAAAATGAAAAAATGACCTTAAACATAAAAATGTCAAAAAATGACAAAAAATTACCTATAAAATTTACATTTCTGTAACCAGCAGCTCATATCCGAGATTTATGTATATTTAAGAGCATCGCATAGGATACAAGGAAAAAAAGATGACATGTCATCAAAATCCGGGCCCTGATGATGAGTGTGGAGCAGTCGGTGGAATGAGAATTGGAAAAAAAAAAAAAACAAAAAAAACAAAAACAAAAAAAAACCAAGTAATAGGAGAAAACCTGCCCAAGTGCCACTTTATGCACCACAGATCCCACATGATCTGACTTGGGTTCGAACCCAGGCCGACGCGATGGGTAGCCAGCGACTAACTGCCTAAGCTGTTACACGGCCGTTAACATAGGCAAAGAATTAATCGGCAGATAATAGGTTTGAATCTCAGCTGGGGCGCTGACTATCCTGGGATTTTTCGTAAAATTCCTCTGCCCCTTCAGTCACATAGCTGTACAGTAACTTAAATTAGGCCACGACTGCCGACTCGGTGGCTTTAGTCCGCAAGCGAACTATAACAACCGAGCGACCGCCGCTTGGCGGCGAGGTTAGTGCCAACTTATGGGCCGCGCCATAGCTCAAGCGGTTAGTCGCTGGCTTCCCACCGCGGCGGCCCGGGTTCGATCCCGGGTCTGGCCACGTGGGATTTGTGGTGAACAAAGTGGAGCTGGGGAGGGTTTCCTCCGAGTACTTGGGTTTCCCCTGCCAATCTTCATTCCACCAAATTCTCCATCAACATAATCACCCGGGGCAGGCTACAATAGGCCTATCAGTGGCCGCCGTGCCGAGTGGACACAGTTGGACTCCACTCCCACTAAGCGAATTAAAAAACAATTAGTGCCAACTTTTGCGGATAGAGGGGTGTCGCGTGGTCAGCGCAACGAATCTCCACGGCCACTAATTTCGGTTTTCTAGAGCGGAGCTGCTACTTTTCAATTCAAATAGCTCCTCAATTATTCTCACGAGGCTGAGTGGACCCCGTTTCAGACCCACTACTTCTCAGACAATCTGGTAGCGCCGGAAATTGAACCCGGGACCTTTGGTTCTGTAACCAGGAACTCTGACCACTAGACCACAGAGGTCTTTCCAATTCACTGCTCACAGTCATGTTACCACTGGACGATATATATATATACACACGTGTGTGTGTGTGTGTGTTCGTGTGTTGTATGAATTACTGATAAAGGTATAAAGTTATCCCTGAACTTAACTAATTAAGCACTCGCCATTTAGACGTATGGGGGAGTGGATGTATAGACCCACATTTTCTTGACCTCGGCACTAGCTGGAGGTGAGTGGTCAGTTTCACGTCCCTGCCGCTTTACCTCCGTGGAAAGAGTCCCCGGTACCCTTTGGATAGGAGGTAGGGTGGATCCCAGAGCCGGTCTGGACGATTTGAAGAAGAGGAACTTCTTGACAAATCTGGGACTTGAATTCCGACCCTTCAGTCGTCCAGCCCGTAGCCAGTCCCTGTACCGACTGAGCTATCCCGGCTCACCTGGATTACTGATAGCCTCTATGAATAGGCTACAAATACATGTACAACAAACCCAGTTACAAATTGAGAAGAGCGAGTTTTGAAACTACGCAAGTAGTCTCCAGCGCTAGTGTGTGTCTCTGTTCTTGTTCAGGTAGGCCCAATTCCGTGCTTACATGTCGGATATTTTGCTGTTGTCAATGCGTTTCTCTTGTCTTGGTTGCTTGAAACAGCACTTACTTGGATCTGGTGAAGTACAGAGTGGGACAGGGTCACATCTCGTACTTGGAAAGGAAGTGGAAGGCGATGGCCATGTATAAAGATACTACTCCCTTTGAGAGAATGAGTGAAGGACTTCAGGACAAGTTTCTCGACTGAAAATCAAACCGCCTAAATGCTGAAATTAAAGTCATCCGCGTTCATGCTGTGATAGACTGCAAAGTGATGAATTATAGTGCCGAATAGCCGTTGGTTAAGCACATGTCTAATAAAATATTTGAGGTTGAAACAATAGTTTTATTTTTTATTATTTAACGAGTTGGTTGAGATCTAGTCTCTTGGTAGTGCGGTCTTGTATGGAACTACTTTATCTGTTCCTGATGATTGATGAGTGCAGCATTGGTACAACGACAACTGGCAAGGGAAAATCAAAGTGATCGAAGAGAAACTATGCAACTATGTCCATCATAATTCTCAGATGTACTATCCTTGAATTCACCCCGGGCCATCTCGATGAGGAGCCGGCGACTCACCAACTAATCCTTTGCTTCCTCGTTGTTGTTGCGTAAATCCGAACGCGAACTGAACTGCAATACCTGTACTTCCGCTCCAGTTGGGTAGACGACTTCAGAGGTTAAACAAAACTGTATGATAAGCACAGGCGTCGCCATGGGTGGCAGAAAATTGTCTCCACTTTATGAAAAATGAAGACCGCCTCTGTGGTCTGGTGGTCAGAGTTCCTGGCTACAGATCCACATATACCGGGTTCGAATCCCTGCGCTACAAGATTTTCTGAGAAGTAGTGGGTCTCAAACGGCGTCCACTCAGTCTCCTGAGGATAACTGAGGAGCTATTTCAAGGAAATAGCGGCTCCAGTCTAGAAAACCGAGATTAGTGGCTGTGGGGATCAGTTGCACTGATCACGTGATACCTTCTATCCGCTAAAGTTGGCGTTAACTTCGCCGACAAGCGGCGGTCTCTCGGTCGGTATAGTTCGCTTGAGGACTACAGGTAACGGAGTTAAAACTGAAGTAGTATGTGTGTTTACTTAAATATCACGTCTTAAAAGCTTACGGAGAGGAAGGTGCAGAAAGTGTAGCTCCAGTAATCCTTAACATCGGTAGGAGACGGAAGTGACTGGTCAGTTTCACACTGCATGATTCCCAGGGCCGGTCTGGATGGAGTGGCGAAGAGAAAACTCTTTGTCTCTGTGCTGGCGACATGCCTCGAATCTCAGTCATTCAGTTCATGGTCTAGTCAATATATTGATCGAGCTGTCCCGCCTCAAAAATAACACGTATTTATCCTTTATAAAGGTTCTGTCACTGATCGCTGCGGGCCCCGCCAGAAAAAAAAACTTACTGCCTCTGCGATCTGAGAGAGCAGCTCGGAGAAATGGTCTAGTACTGGCTAGACGAACGGGGTTTGATTCTTTGTTTTGTGGAGGAGTCGAGGGGAACAATCCGGTCGCTCCCCCTTAAATCCGTAGCAACACTCACCTGGCCCCCAAAGTAAAATAATCATTCACACCTATCTATATACGCCATAGCCGTGAAATCTGCATGCGTCATTGGTTAATGACATGTTCACGCAGTTTTGCTTCTGGGTATTGTACTGCTTGAAGTACGTTACGACATTGCACTCTAATCTACGACGACTAACATTGAAACTGGAGTCATAGTCGCGTGACCCGAGCATGACTGTAAGTGCGACGGCACTCCAAGGAAACTGGCAACCGCAACGCAACCGCAATTTCCGAGAATTGTTATCAGCCTGAGTCGAACACAAGTTACTGAACGGAGCAGTGCAAACTGAGGGAAAAGCAACGTAACTCGCGGAAAGACTGAGAAACTCAACTTCCAGGCATCGAAGCACGCCAGTCTTCCCACAATTGGCGTTGCCGCTTTGTTTCCTAATATCATGTGTTCTGTAACGCAGTTCAGTGATTCATTTGTTAGTTTAGGTGGCACGAAAGTTTGAAGAAGCTGCTAATTTTGTTTTTGTGTAGTTAATTGAGCAAGAGTCTGGCATATATGACAAACGCCACCCAGACTATGCTAGGCAGGACAAAACAGATTTGGCTTGGGAAAGAATTTCTCATGAGACGAAGGAGTCTGGATCCAGGTTAAGTTCTTTCGAAACAATATAAGCTCCTCAGTTTAAATTTTCACGGAAGAACGGATGCACTCAATGTTTTCTTTTCATAATATTGTATTTAAGCGCCTTGTTGCATTAATATATCATTTATTTTACATATATTTCCGTGTTAAATGCAGCGTATTACATAGTCACCCTTCTTCCACATTACACGGTTCGGCTGCATACGGCCATCATCAGGTGTCTTCTATCTTGTTAAAATTGTTGCATTCTATGTCAAAATTTTGTATGGCGTATGAATGCGCTATTTCCTGATTAAATAAACCGGCCTTAATTAAAACAAATTAACATCCCAATATTCTCCTTATGGTTGTCGTCCTCTCTTCTCACGCCGTATCAACCCCTCTCGACTACCACACCATGTTATGACAGGATCAGCATTATTATTATCCATTGTAGGAGGTAAGAGCACGAAATTAAAAAATACAATCATGCACTACGTCGGACGAACATACTCATATAAGATTTTGTGAGCAACTACTCAGACATAAGTTTCTTCAGTATGCGCCTACTAATCTGGAAACAAAGCTGCTTGTAATCGGCGAAATTTCTCGGAAATTGCGGTTGCGTTGCAGTTGCCAGTTTCCTCGGTGTGTCCTCGTCCTAAAAATGTCGTCGGCGGGGACGCAAGGGACGGAAGTTACATACAAGAACCACTTCAGCCTCGAGTGTTAGTCTGCGAGCTCTGCGAGGTCTACGCGTCAGTTTAGTTGTGCTGTGCTGTGCTGAGTGGAAGGTGTTTCTGTTGAACACTGTGGATCAACATGGGTTGCGGCATCACAACTGTAAAATACCTTCTGTTTATATTCAACTTGGTGTTTGCGGTGAGTTAATTATGGTGAAAGTTAATTTTCTGTATTGGTACAGTTATGAGTTTAGAGAAGGTGACTGGGGTCAACATGTGTGTGTTTGTGTGAAAGTGAATGTGGTTAGGAAGAGATCGTTCTAGAATATTGACAAAAGCGAAGGAAGAATGTTAATGGGATACTGTAATTTCATAATCTTTAGTGGCATTGTTTTTCATTTCTCAGATAGTACGCAGTTATGACGACGAGAGTCAAATAACTTTGTTTTGAATAAAAGATTTTGAACAAAACTAGCAATTTATGTGCTTTTGGATACGATTTTAAATTGTGGACTTAATAGTTCTGGTACTGTCTAGTATTGCAGGTGGTTATCGACGTTTCGGAAGAACTAGCTTCGTCCACCTTCAAAGTAGGAGTAAGATGCAACAGTACTTTACGAAACGTTGGTAACAACGTGCGAGACTGTATGGTGTCACAATCCAGAACATACACTAACCAAAAGGAAGTCATAAACGCCGTGTATTCAGTTTGATGAGAACGTAAATATGCACGATCATATGCTAATGCAAAAATTCATTTTAACAAATCAGAAAATATGGAAAACAAGTTCTTCAGGCAACGTATGACGAATGTTTTCTTTGAATTCATTTGTCAGTCTAGGTCTGGACAAGCTTAGATTTATATTTCGTGTAGAATTTAGCAGTACATTTCTGCGCCTAGTAACGGATCTCATTTGCCAGGAAGGTGTGACATATACCGTCGAAATATTGCGTCATACTCATATTTCCTATTTTGGGAAGATATTGGAGAACTTGCCGCATATGTTCCGACAGTTTGGGCTTCTCGCGTGGAATTCCCCCATGTAAGCAGATTTTAAGGCATGAGTTGTAATGAATCAACTGGTAAATAACCGGAAGACGTCCCACGCCTATGAAATTGCCGACAGCTTTCCTCATACATTGTTCCCTTCACAAGGTCTGGTTATGTGTCAGCTAAAGACGTTCAAATGCAGTCGTTTACTCTGTAGCTATTCTGGCGGTACTTTTCCTACCTAGAGCTTCTTGCTGTGCGCGTGGATTAGACTGAATCCATTCTGCGCCATGCAGCTAAAAGTGTGTCCTCCAAGGTGAAAGGCTATCAAGTGAGCTCCAGTTTCTGACCACATGTTTCTAACAGAAATATTGCAGTTGTTACTTAAGTGACCTCTCAGAAAAAATGTACTTCGCAGTTCCCTGTTTGACGTCATAACAAAAGGGCTGGGACGTAGCAGTTTTAGTTAAGTTAATCATTTCTGCCATGGAACAACAAGAGACTGGGAGAAGGTAGAGAGGCGGGCAAAGAGTGAGGGAGAGAGAGAGATTGCGATGTTGCGACATTGCTTGCCTGGAACGTTTTGTGCTTTGTGTGTTCCTAAGAATAGCAGTCAATCGGTAGTATAAATTTTTTATTAAATTTTGCAGAATTTCGAATCAGTTGAAAAAGTCCGTATTTCTAAATACCTAGAATACAGTATAAAACTTAGCTATCTTTATGATTTTAATATGAAATAAAGCAATGTCCAGCATATTTGTGCTACTGTTAAAATAAAGGTAGGCGTTAGAGGAAGAACAGAGAATTTCTGAAAAGTTTATAATGTAATGGCAGTGCCTACTTTTCTACGTATATGAATCAAGAGTGCTGGACCCTAATTAACAGGACAGAATAAATAAGGTTCATTAAGAACCGTTTCTCAATATAGGGGAACAGAGTAAATCAGAAATCAAACAATCAGACTAAAATTAAATATATTTAATGGTCTAGACATAAGAGTTGAATGTCAGACGTAAGGATTACACTGCTCAGAAAGATTACATGAAAGTAGTTCTGATGAAACTATTAGTATCTTACGCATCGAAAGGCAGGAGAAGGAAAAAAAAAATATAACATAACACAACATGGAAGGATCAATTCTGAGTTAAATCCTGGAGCCAGAACAGTCTAGTAGGATTTACCCAATCAAATTAAGATGAAGATATGTCCATTTTCATTTTCGGTCCATGTTTCTTTGTAACAGGGTTTGTAGATTAGTTACTCTTCAGACTCATTTTCATCGTTGCCCCAGATCAACGTAATTCCAGCATGTATCAGTGTTTTCATATCTGATCCACGCTCACTCCTGTAACCTCGTCAGCAATGGCGCAAAACAAGATTATAAGAAACCCGTTACTGAGCAGGCTGGGCTAGCGGTAACATTGTAGAGTTGTAGTCGGAAGACATGCGTGTGTCCATCTGGATCAGGGGTCTCCAAACTTTTCGAACCGCGGGACACATTAGGTAATTCAGCACTTTCAACGGGCCGGATAAAATGAGAAATTAATAACTCTTGGTATATGAGTTTTATTGAAAGCACAGAATTTCATAAACTAAATACAAAGTACGTGAGAAAAAATTATCGTATATTAATGGTAACAGACAGTAGCAGCAAATGCTCATATTTTCATCACAAATTATATTAAAACAATTAATGTGAATGATGGAACTCTTTTTGCATTCTTAAAATCTGATTAAATTGAAGTTCAAATTTTGAAACGTTATCACAAGTAGCGACTCTAAATGTTCATCGGATAAATTTGCCCTGTATTTCGACTTGATGTACTTCATCTGGGGAAAAGTTTGTTCACACAGATATGTCGTCCCAAAAATGGAGATAAATTTACAAGCAAATTTCTTTAAATTTGGAAATTGCTCAGAGTTCAGAAATTTATAAAATTCAATCAAATTTCCTTCCTTTTATTTGTCTTTAATATGATAATTTTCCTGAAGTTCAATAATTTCCATTTGAATTTGACTTGGGACATCTGCAGCATCACAGTCAAACGGATTTTGAAACAATCTAATTTCCTGAGCACTGGAATCCAAATCAGCAAATCGCTTCCGAAATTGTTCTTTCACATCTGAAATGACTAAATTTGCAAACGAGGAAGGAAATTCAGCTTCACCCTTTTTATGCAACTCTGCACAGTATAGCATATGAACAAAGTTACAATTTTCACTTGGCTTTCCAGAAGTATCAACTTTGCTCTGAATGCCTTGATAAGTTTAAATAAATCACAGACTAAGTTATTTTCACCCTGCAACTTTAAATTCAAATGGTTCATATGGTTCACCAGATCAACAAAAAATGCTAATTTCAAAAGCCGCTAGGTGTCTGATAAAAGTGGTTCGTGATGGATTTTCTCGGCAAGAAATATATCAATTTCATTCCTGAGCTGAAAGAAGCACGAAAGAACCTTTTCACAGCAAAGCCATCGAACTGCAGTATAATATGTCAGGTCAGTAAGCTCGGAATCACATTTACCAGCACTCATTGGAATATTAGTTCAACTGGCACAATTCTTTCGCGGGCAGTAGTTTGGAGACCCTTGATCTAGATGTAAATAAAGAAAAGCTATCCCTGTACCAGGCCGTGAAGGCCCATAGGGTTCTGAGACGTTGAGGGTGGAATTGCACAATTTAAATATTAATATCTCAGTATGACCATCATGCCCATTCTGTTCGTCCGTGTGATCAAGGGCAACATTACCATCCTTCGAACTTGCTGAGGTATGAGTAATTCTGATACCACTGTACGTGGAGTCTGAGAAATATACAAATGCCATGAAAATGGGACATAAACACATGACAGTTGTGTGACATGTTTTGATGTGAGTATGATCACTAACGAATACCTGCTAACTCCACCTCTGAAATCCGTATGGCGGTATGGCGCAAATAAGTATACTATGAACTGTAAGAATGATTTTGAAACACACACGTCATTCAGAACAGTATAATGATGTACGCTAGCAGTGAGAGTTTTAATATTTATATAATTTTATGTGAAAGTATCCGGTCTAGAAAACCGAGAGTAACGGCCGTGGCAATCCGTTGCGCTGACACGCGACATCCTCTATACGCAAAAGTTGGTACTAACTTCGTCGACAAGCGGCGGTCAGTCGGTCGCTTGTGGACTAAAGGCCACGGAGGAAAAAAGTTTGTGAAGATTAGGTAAAGTTGTCCCTGTCCTTAACTAATTAAGCACTACGCCATTAACACGTATGAGAGAGTGGATGTATAGATTTAGATTTTCTGGACCGCGACATTAGTTGGAGGTGACCGGTCAGCTTCACGCCCCGGCCGCTTTACCCCCGGTACCTACTGTATAGGAGGTTGGGTTGACCCAAGAGCCGGTCTGTAAATTAAAAGTGAAACATCAAAACTGAAGTCCTTCACCCGCCTTTACAGCTAGGGAAAAACTAATTATGTATATAGTTAAAATTTTAAATAGTTTTGCTTTAACTGTAAATGCGGGAGAGGGACCTCAGTTTTGATGTTTCGCTTTGAAATAGTATTCCGGAAAATCATGCAACAAAACGCTTGTTTTCGTTGACTGCCATGGGGGATTATGAGGTATTTTTGCAGAAAGGGTTGGTGACTTGCTCGAAATTATCCCAGAATTATTCTAATAAAATAAAGGAGAACTATGATTTCACATATTGTTTTGTATGGGAATGAAATTTAGTCTCTCGCCCTAACAACATAACATTGATTCAGTCAGAGAACTAAGTGTTTAGAACATTGTGTATGTGGGAGATGAAAAATGAATACCACCACCGGCCCCCCCCCCCCAACCGCTGCTCTGGGCGCTGCAGCCCATGATGAACCTTGGCCTTTTATAGTTTCATAATCATATAGACAGTCGTAGGGCTCCTTGGGTGGGGGATCAGCGCTTCGCAAGGCCGCTGCCTATACAGGACAACACAAACACAGAATAAACGCAGACAAACATCCATGCCTCAAGTGGGACTCTAACCCAAAACCCCAGTGTTTGAGCGGGCGAAGGGAGTTCATGTGATCGGCCTGTATGGAATTCTAGTTGAAAATAATTGAGTGATACAGGCGAAGATGGAAGGATAATTTTATTATGTATCTTGAAGGAACTGAGTATGAGGGTGTGCGTTTGATTTACCTGTCTCAGGACATGATGTAGTAATCGGTTC